GCTCAGGCATGAGGAGGGCTCCTACAGCTTTATGCTCCTTGGTTTGGAGTTGAGGGTTCAGGGTTTAGGGATTTAGGGTTTAGGGACCTAAACCCTGAAGCCTGTAGCGGTATCTAGGTTGTAGGTTTAGTGTCCCCATTGGTGCGGTTTGTTGCTATTACTTAGGGTTTGGGGGGTTGTTTATGGGGGGTTGGGTTTGGGCGGCTCAGGGGATAATGGAAAAGAAAATGGAAACCATAGGGATTATAGGGATTATAAAGGGGTTATTGAGATTTATGCTCCTTGGACGGAGAGGTGTGTATGGGTGTTTGGGGTTTAGGGTGTTTAGGGTTTGAATGGGTCTAGGGTGTAGGGTGTTTAGGGTTTGGGGGGTTTTAGGGTGTAGGATTCAGCGCTTAGGGTTTATAAGCTATTTTTCCAACCACCATACAGGTTGACAGCACATGGGGGCTTTCGACCTTGCACTAGCAGACACTGTGCAAGGTGAGGAAATGCTGCACCATTCGAAGTTGCGCGCATCCTAGGATGTAGCATGCTTGAAGGGTCGTAGGTCGTGGAAGACCTTCCGTCAAGCTCCAAATTCTAAACTCTAAGCTCTAAACATCTTGGAGCCATGTCCCAATTTTATCGGCAAAGCTCAGTTTGCAGGATACCAAAAGACAATTAAAGAGCAACGTTTTTTGAAATTTTGGCAGTACGCACAGGAGCTATGATGGAAGTGAAGCTGCCAGAGTGCTCGCGTAGCCTCTGGCCTGCAGGGCGTAGCCTGCATAGGCACCTGTAGGTATAGTCCCGCTTAAGTAACTAGAATATGGGGCAATATGGGGATCTTATTATAATTTGCCCAAAGCCATACTCCAAACCTTAAACCTCTGCATAGGTCAAGGATGCATCCAGAAGTAGCAGACAGCTTGCACTGCAGGGATTCGAAGCTCCACCATCACAACAGAAGGAAAGGGAGGCAACGCCAGTGCGGATGAGACCAGACCTCTTACTTAGCTGGGTTGCTGTTAAGGAACTTAAACTAAGCTACCATAATGGGTATAAATATAGTAATCTATAGGGTTTCCCCGATTATAGTAACTAAATTTAAGTTCCTTAACAGCAACCCAGTTGGTGAAGGGAGCGATGAAGAGACTCGCACACCACCGATGCAGAGCAAGACGAGCGACTCCGAGGAGGAGATTGTCCATCAAAAGTGGCGCCGCAATAAACTTTACGCAGAGCCAGCAAGGACACCTAGGAACAGAACGAGGGAAGCAGAGCGCACATAGAGCTGGACCACGTAGCATACCTGGTGATGTGAATGAGAAAAGAGAAGTCTGCCAGAGAACACGGGGAAGCACGTGTTCATCCAGCACTGCTGCCCACAGGTCATCAAGATCTGCGCAACTATCTGCGTAGTAAGAGTGGCCTCGTGTAGTTTGTGTAGCCTGCTTCCGCAGGAAAAGCAGTCATTCTGCTCAGTTCGCGTAGGCCTTCTATGTTAGTAGAAGAACCTTAGCATAGATTACAATGCTCCCTGGGGCACAGGCAAAGGGTTTCAGCTTTTCAGTGGGTAAATCCTAAATCCATATCCCTTTATAGGCCAGCTACCCAGGGAAGAAGATGGTTCCGTAGAAGTATCGCACCGATCTAACCTTAGGAACCCAGATAGCCCAAAGAAGGTATGTTGCAGAAAGATAGCAATCCAATAGCTTCTTAACACCTTCCTAAACCCTAAACCCACAACACTAAACACCTACCTAGACCCTAAACCCTGAACCGTAAACCCAAAGCATCTAAACACTTACCTAAACCCACAGCATCTAAACCGAAACCGTACACCCAAAGCATCTAAACACCTACCCAATTTAAACCCTACACCCACGCAACCTCGGAGAGTCCCCGCCAAGCTGGGGGCCAAGACCCAAAGCTTGAAAAACCCACCTAAACCCGAAGCCCTAAACCCTAAGCTCTAAACCCTAAACCCAACCACCTTTTGCATAAAGTGCCTGGGTTTCCTGGTCAGGGTTGGCGTCTGCTTCAGCTCGGTTTTCTTCTGAAGGGCTCAAGAATTACAGGGCTTAGGGTTTAGGAGGAGATAGCGGATTATAGGCTTCAGGGCTTGGGGGTTAGGATGAAGGGCTTAGGCTTAGGGCTCAGGATTTAGGATTGGGGGTTTAACTTCTGGCTTAAGCGCGTTTCTGGCCTCAGACGTCCATCATCAAACATTGCTCAAATCTCAGTACCCAAACCCTAAATCCTAAACCCTAAACCGATGATCTTTAAACGGCCCTGCCCCCGAGGTGAGGCCGCCTTAAACCCTAAGCCCTTAACCCTAAACCCTGAGCGCGAACCCCTAAACCATAAGTACTAAAACTTAAGCCCTAACCCTTGAACCTCAAATCCTACACCCGGAACCCGCAACCCTAAATCCCAAATCCTAAACCCTAAACCCCAAGCACTACATCCTAAACTTTGGCCAGGTTGTGGTCCAGGGAGTTGTGGAAAGTTAAGTACAGGCAAAGGCCGAACAACTCAGGGTTGGCTGCTTGGATTCATCAGACGGTGGATGGAGGGCTTTAGGGCTTAGGGTTGAGGGTTTAGGGGCACCAGTTGGGGCGTAGGATTTAGGGTTCAAGGTTTAGGGTCTAAGGTTTTGGGCTGGGGGTTTTCCAACGTTAGGGGTACCTTTTTGGAGGCTCCCCAGAATAAGGATTATATGGTGTATTGGGATCTAAATAGGCCCCCCCCCCATTCTGGGAAACTACCACTTATGTTTAGGGTTTAGGGCTTGGGGTTCGGGGTTTAGGGTTTAGGGCTTGGGTTTAATTTAAGGTCAATATAGGGTTTAGGATCTAGGGGTATGTTCAGGTTTGGGTAATGCTCCTACCCAGTAACGGTTTATGCTTGGGATCACATAAAAGGTTCGATGTATTCAGAATATAGGTATAATCCAACTCTTAGTGGGTGGAGGCGGTACCCAATGTTTAGGGTTTAGGGTTTGGGGCTGCGTCTGGGGTTATGAGGGCCATAATCTACTGCCTCAGCCAGGATGTGCGGAACTTTAAATGTTGTAGGGTTTGGTCTTAGGCTTTAGGAGCTGCGGTGTCCTTGTTCAGCCTCGAGCAAAACGAATGCTGCATATAAAGTGCTGGAATGTCTCCATATGAGCTATATACTAAATTCTATGAAGGGTTAAATTATGGGGGATTGCATAGGGGAGTATGATAGGGGCCAGTAAGGGGGATACTAAGAGTTTAGACTTCAGCTCTACTGGGCGCTTAGACTTTAGCTCATATGATGAACCAGCACGCAGGCTCCACCTCTACGCACAAAGACACATCTTCTTCTCTTGTGTCTCCTTGCAACAGTGCTTAATGACCTCAAAGACCCGAAGACCCTCTAGTGCCTTCACAGATTAGCTTGCGGCGACCAGGGCGTCATCCTCAAATCATCATATGGCTGGTAGTCAAAATTATGGTCCCTCTTTGGGTCCCTATTATAATACGGCCCCTAATATTTAGGGTACCCAAAAAGGGACCATAATTTTGACAACCACCCATATACGAACAGAAACACTGAGGCTTCAACTTTACGTCAGAAGCCTTACGGAGGCTTCAACTGAAAGCCCCTGCGTTCGACTGAGATAATCGGTCGTGCACATCCATGATGGGCCAAAAGCCCTGGGCGTAAGGTTGCAGACGGAATGTGACTATGAGATCTTCGGTCTTAGCTTTTTTCTCACTTTCCTTGTTTTGAGGGCCATCACGCCACCAAGATCTGAACCCTAAGCTTCTAAACTCTAAGCCTTTCAAGGAAGAGCATACCCAGTGGGCTTTTGCCAGTTTCAACTCCGGACTCAAGCAGTAATAGCATTGATGTTTTAGGGTTTCGGGGCAGTAGTAGAAGAAGAAAAGTTTGTTGGAGCAGGAGGGGTTCGCGCAGCAGTAGTCCCCCGTCCGAAGTCACCCCTTCCCAATCGTCCCAATAATGAATCTTCCTCCTAGTCTAGAACACTACTTTCTTCGCAGCATTGAATGTTTGGAATAGGGGAAGTAACCTTAAATCCTGTCACTCTAAATTACATCCTGAACCCTAAAATCCTAAACTCTGAGCCCACAACCCCCAAACCCCCCGCAAAAAAAACCTTCTGCAAATCCACATGAACCCTGTAAGCCCTACGAACCCTAAACCTCAAACCCTAAACCCTAGACCGTAAACACCATCCTCAGTTCGGGGTTGGACTGCAACAAGACTACGCAGACGAGCAGAGGAAGAAACTGGAGGCCAGGTCTTTGGGTGGATCTTGGTTTAGGGTTTAGGCTTTTAGGATTTAAGAGTTTAGGCTTAAGAGTGTAGGGTTTAGGCTTTGAGGATTTATGAGTTTAGGCTGAAGAGTTTAGGGTTTAGGCTTTTAGGATTGAGGAGTTTAGGCTTAAGAGTTTAGGGTTTAGGCTTTTAGGATCCAAGGGTTTAGGATTAAGAGTTTAGGGTTTAGGGGTGGGCATTTAGGGTTTAGGATTTAGGGTGTAAGGTTTGGGGATCAGGGCTGGGGCTTTAGGACTAAACCCCAATCCTTAACCCTAAGCCCCAAACCCTACCTGGAGTCACCTGGGTCCTTGTTTTTTAGGACATGAGTTGGGACTGCTCAGTTTCCGCACATGAAAGTGAAAATGAGTACATTCGTGAAGGCTCACATGAAAAAAGGTACATGAACACATTCAGGGCCTCAGATCCTTGAAGAAACCCTGCAGTGATAGCGCTCCAACCCAGACCTTCATGAACATAACCTTGAACCTGGATGGTACCCTTTGAGTGTTTCCAGAACAGAAGTCCAAGAAAAGATTGTAAACCATCCCCAAAGATCCCCAAAGCAAGCCTGCCACCGCGACACATTGTCAACTCCATGGATGCCAGCTGCGCAACTTGATTCGCAACTAGACAAAGTTGGAGATGCCAGGGAAACTGAGAATTTCTTTGTATAGAGCTTGCTTAAAGTCCCGACTGTATGGATATCAGGTTTCCCCAGCATACACCAAATTAAGTTTGACCAGGTAGCGGTCAATTGTTCTGGCATTGGTCACCTTGGGGTGAACATGCCTGGAAATCCTAGATATCTTGCCGATATAGTCCTCGTCAGCTTCACAATTTGCAAAACTGGGGGAGAGGATATATTTTGCATTCGGGTTTGCAAGCTTCCTCTTCATGTCCATGTAGAAGTGGTGGTAGTAGTGCAAGGATGGCGCAAGGGAGTACCGGGTCAGGTTCTGGTTGTGGCACAGCTGCGCCAAAGCAGAGTAAGACTCACAAAACTTGAAACATGCTTCGCCCAAAGCTTCTGCAAGGCCCCTTGTGAGCCAGAGGCCATTGTTGTGCATAATGCGAAAGAACTTCAGAGCTCCTGAAGCAGCCATTGCAATGTTCTCCAACATAGGAATATGCCATGGCTCCGACGCATTGAGTACCATGTTGCCAGTACGTATGCCATCACGCAGGGGCCCATGCAGCACCAAGTGCCTCAACCACCGCGTGAGCAACATAACATCACTGCCTTTTGGCCTAGCATAAGGGAAGGAATTGACACGGGGATAATGCAGATTCGCTTTCGTAAAGTGCTTGATGTGGGGCACGCCTGGTCCACCCCATTCATGCTTCACGAAATGCCCGAAGTCCTTATAGGCCCGGTCCATCACATTTGCAAAAACATTGTTTTCAGCATTCCAGTACCCCATTTCAGCAACCAGGACTATGGAGCTTGCTGCAAAAGATCCACCGACTGACTGCTTGTAGACATGGAAAGGATCCCGTTGATATACCAGTTCTGGTTTTCCAGGAACCCCAGGAACCTCTGCTAGTGGTCCCGGTACCACCCAAGGTCTTTCAGCATGGATTGTAGCTTCATAGATCGGGTTGCGGCGGCAATCCTCAAAGGGAATTTCAGGCGCTCCCGCCATGCACTCCCAACATATGGGGTTCCCCAAGCACTGGAAGTTGCGCGTGAAGTTGCCTGCCTTCGCCAAAGCCGGGGCATCCCCCTTGACTGCCAAAAGGGCAGCGAAGTACTTTGAACCATCATGCACCTGAAAACCATCTTCCAGAAGCGATGTACACTCTTCACGCAGTCTGTCCAGCACGGCAGTAAACACTCTGGAGTTGTTCTTCGTGTAGGATGCCTTGGGCAGGATCGTGTAGAGGAAGCGGCTGCGGTAAGTGCAGCCTCTCCCATTATGAAACTGATTCCTTATCATCATGTCTTCCAGCTCCGATTCCATCAGGTAATCGTCGAAGATGAAATCCATGTTCTGCGTGAAGTGCGGCGCCGTGTCTGCACCAAAGATTCCTTGAGCATGGATGACCATGACAGCCGACTTCCGTAAACCTCGGCCCTCATCCAGATGAATGCAGTACGGTATGACAGAGTGCAGTCTACCATGATGCAATTCGAAAACCGCATGCTCCGGGTTTTCTTTTCTGAAGCATTCCCAAAAGGCTTTCAAGCAGACTTGTCCATAGCGATCCATTGTTGTGAAGCCACCAAGCAACTGGCCGCAATTCCTCACATTCAGCAAGTAGCGGAACCAGGTTTTCAAGGCTATACTCTTGACACTGATAGCCCCAACATTGAAGCTGTCCACTCGAACCTTTTCAGAGAGGCCCACATTTCGAAGAACCCGTAGAAGGTCCCTTTCTGCCGTGTTCATGAGCGGGCTTGCTGCAAAGCGTTTCAACGCCTCTGGCTGCAACTCTGGAGGTAGCTCTTCAAGGGCAGCTCGGGCATGCTTTCGGAGATCCGTTGCTGGTGCCTGGGCAGGGAAATTATAAGGGTATCTAAGACGGTATCTACTAGACTAGCTCACTCACACTTTCAGTTTTGGAAGCTGGGTTGCAGACTCCTTGGGCAAGAGCATGAGCAAGAGACTTCATAACAGCTCCAACACGAGGGCGGTTACGTTCATGACCTGGCACACTGTGATTGTTCATACTATTTTAGACTAAGAATCTGCCTCAGCACCAGAAAGTGGGTATGTCAATGCAACTTGCAATTTTCAGCGGTCGCTGCTGGTATTGCCCATGGCACCCATGGATCGAAGCCCCTTGTAGGTCAGGCCACAAACA